TCAATGATATTTTCTGTGTGTGATTTTTAATATTTTTAATTGAAGGGATTTGACAATATTCATCTTGCTTTTAAAACAAAGTTCTAGCATGCTACAACACTGAATTTGTGAGCCAAGTTCTACAGGTTATTTTGCGACTTTGTTTATAATCAACCAAAATATCATGGTTCTCATTTCTTAAATGTTTAGACAATTCTTGGTATTCAGATATGCTAATATGCATGCATATTTCTCTATTATTTGAATATGTGAAAAAGATGGTTGTCCTTGTCCTGCAGTTCCTGGAGCCTCTGGAGCTGTGCTATAGATCTCTATGCGCTTGCGGTGACAGACCAATTGCAGATGGCAGCCTTCTTGATTTTCTAAGGCAAGTTTCCACCTTTGGTCTCTCCCTTGTGAGACTTGATATCCGCCAAGAGTCAGAGAGGCACACTGACGTTCTAGATGCTATAACAAGGCACCTGGGTATTGGATCCTATAAAGAATGGTCTGAAGAGCAGAGACAGGAATGGCTCTTATCTGAACTAAGTGGAAAGCGTCCACTGTTTGGACCTGATCTCCCTAAAACTGATGAAATCACTGATGTTTTGGATACCTTTAATGTCATTGCGGAACTTCCTGCCGATAATTTTGGTGCTTATATTATTTCAATGGCCACGGCACCCTCTGATGTGCTTGCCGTTGAGCTTTTGCAGCGTGAATGTCATGTAAAAAGTCCATTGAGGGTTGTCCCGTTGTTTGAAAAGCTTGCTGATCTTGAGTCTGCACCTGCTGCTGTTGCTCGGTTGTTCTCCATAGATTGGTACAGAAACCGTATCAATGGGAAACAAGAAGTTATGATTGGGTATTCTGATTCAGGTAAGGATGCTGGCCGACTATCTGCAGCTTGGCAATTGTACAAGGCTCAAGAGGAACTTGTAAACGTGGCGAAAGAATTTGGAGTGAAGCTAACAATGTTTCATGGCCGAGGAGGGACTGTTGGACGGGGAGGGGGTCCCACCCACCTTGCCATTTTATCACAACCTCCTGACACAATCCACGGTTCACTTCGTGTGACTGTTCAAGGTGAAGTTATTGAACAATCGTTTGGGGAGGAACACCTGTGCTTCAGAACTCTTCAGCGTTTCACAGCAGCTACACTTGAGCATGGAATGAACCCCCCTGTGGCTCCGAAGCCAGAGTGGCGTGCTCTATTGGATGAGATGTCTGTTGTTGCTACGAAAGAGTATCGGTCTTTGGTGTTCCAGGATCCACGATTTGTTGAATACTTCCGCCTTGTAAGTATATATATTCAAGATACTTCATAAGTTGATTTGAACTGCTTTTAGAAGACTCTTAATGGATCATTTAAAAAGAGGTAAAAGAAAGAACATTCAGAAACCAAAATACAAAGAATTGAAGGACATGAACAATAGTTGTTAATAGGTGGAAGCGGTCAGTTTCTAATAATTAGTCAAAACAGACATGGATGGCATTTACATTTCTGACATTGATGAATTATTTGCCTTTAGCCCTATACATAATGTGTAGAAATGACACCAGGTAGCCATTTTACATGTATTTAGAAATTAGTCGGTGAAAATTTTCAGGACAAAAAATGTTCTGAATTGTCCTAAAGTTAAGATTTTTAGTTTAAAATTTAAGGACAAAATAAGTACCGGATAATATCTAAATAGCATCTTTGAGAATGGCTATTTGTGCACTTGCCCCACGTAATGTGCCTATGAAACTGAACTTTCTATTTTCTGTTTGTCAAAAAACGCAGGCAACCCCAGAATTAGAATATGGTCGCATGAATATTGGAAGTCGCCCCGCAAAAAGGAAGCCAAGTGGTGGGATCGAATCTCTTCGAGCAATTCCATGGATCTTCGCATGGACTCAGACAAGGTTTCATCTCCCTGTCTGGCTTGGCTTTGGGGCTGCATTCAAGCATATTATTGAGAAGGATATAAGAAATCTGCAAATGCTCAAGGATATGTACAATGGATGGCCTTTCTTCAGAGTGACACTTGACTTGATTGAAATGGTCTTTGCTAAGGGAGATCCTGGTATTGCTGCATTGTATGATAAGCTTTTAGTATCTGAAGATCTGTGGCCGCTTGGAGAGCGCTTGAGGTCCAAATATGAAGAAACAAAGAGCTTTCTCCTTCAGGTACAAAATTTTCTTAATTGATATTATTTTGTTACCATCATGTTCTTACCCTACAAGCAGAAAGTTTCACTTTTTTGGATTCTTGAAATGTCATCAAAAGCTAGGCTTGATATTTTATTTCATTGTTGCTACTTTTATCAGGTTGCTGGGCATAAGGATCTTTTGGAAGGAGATCCATACTTGAGGCAGAGACTCAAACTTCGCGATTCTTACATTACAACCCTCAATGTTTGTCAAGCCTACACATTGAAGCGAATTCGCGACCCCAGCTACAATGTGAAGGTGCGGCCACATCTAGATAAGGAGATAATGGAATCAAGTAAACCGGCTGCTGAGTTAGTGAAGCTTAATCCTATGAGTGAGTATGCTCCTGGATTGGAAGACACACTTATTTTGACAATGAAAGGTATTGCTGCTGGAATGCAGAACACTGGTTAAGGCTAAGGCTTCATCGAATTATGTATGTAGAATAAGTTATGCTGTCTAACTTTATAAATATTTCTGTTAAAGAAGAATAATGATGTGATGTTTTTGAAAAGTTGTGTGTCTTGTTTATCATTCACTATTTCGAACGTTATGCGTGGAGTGTAAAATAGAATGGGTCAGAATGTTCTGTAACTTCCTTTTTCTGGCTAGCTGACTGCAATTTAAGCCTCAATCAATCAACAACGATTTAATTGCAACAAATATTTCTTCTTAATGGGGTAAAAGAACTTGGGATTGTCAATCTTTTCCTTAAAGATTTTGAGGAGTTGACGTGCAATGTGATGTTGAATTCCAAAAGGTAACAATAACATTCACTTTTAGTTGTAAAGTATTTCAAAAATAAATTTATTTTTACTTGTTATTTTTTCGTATATCAAGAGAAAAATAATTTATTTTTTCTGTTTTGCCCTTAGTATTAATTACTCATTCCAGATTATTTTCTAAATCTATACACCAATTATTATGATAAATTATACACTTTATTTATTATTCTTAAGGGGTGTATTACTCATTCCAGATCATTGTTCAAATCTATACACCAATTAATATGGATATCATAATAAATGATACACTTTATTTATTATTCTTAAGGGGTGTGCTTAATTACTCATTCCAGATCATTTTTCAAATCTATACACCAATTAATATGAATATCATGATAAATTATACACTTTATTTATTATTCTTAAGGGGTGTGCAAAGTCAACAGTGGACAAGTAAAAGTGAACGGAAGAAGTAGTATAATTTCACATGTGGGTTTACATGTGAGTTATGAGGAGGGTGATATGTATGCAGAAATTATCCTTATCTTGAAGATAGAGAAACTGTTTTCGATAAAGACATATGACTTAAAAAGGAAATTTCAAAAAGTAACAAATATTGAATATTTTCATACTATTGAGTATTGATCATTAATATATCATTACTTTTCCAGTTTTCCTTGTTCCACTAAAACAGGATACGATTTGCGAAATTCACATAAATCCATAAAAAAAATCTGAAGAAATTTCAGTGGTAAGAACCAGAATTTTAGTAGTACTTTTCTTTGGTCAAGATTCACATTTTTTTAAATTCATTCTGACTGAGCTTGCGGTTCTTTTATCGGAATAAAAATGTGTATTTAACTTGTAGATAAATTATAAATTTTGACCAAATTTGTATATAAATTGTAAAAAACTTATTGTTACTTTCTGTAAATATGAAAACTTAGACAAACTGGGTAAATAAGTTTAGAACTGGCCCTTGGTGGCATGATTAGGGAAATGGATTATTTTTTAAAAGGAAAATGATCTGGAGCAAGCATAACTTCAACACTTCGCCGTTCAAATCCATGGCCGCATATGAGAGCAAAAGAGATATTAGGTTAAATAAAAATTTTGAAACCGGCAGAAATGAGTAAAATCGATATTGCTTGAAAATTTGTAAAACGCGTGGTAAGAGCTTAAATAAGTCTTAAAAAATTAGACACTTTGTAAATTTCATAAATGTTTTGTAACGGCCCTAAATTTCTAAATTTCGTTATTTTATTTTATTTCAAAATTTTAACTTTAGGAACTTGTCAAAATCGTATATCGTCAATTTTTTACAAGAAAAAAAAAATTCTAAGGTGTATGTATTATCTAATACTAATTTCTATAGCCAAGCGCAGAAACATATATAAATAAATGAATAACTAAAGTGCATCTCTCGTTCATCCTAATACAAGTATTAATAGCAGTTCGAATCCGTAACTTACATGTCACACTTTGACAACTTTTACCGCTATTCCAAAGCTCATTTCGAATAAATAAATAACTAGAAAAAGATAAAATGGAAAACGTGACAACAGTAACTTTGACCTAAGAAATGTCTTCTTGGTAAGTTCCCTTTTACTTCAGTTAACCCTTCCCTGCAGGTGTTACATATAAGTTGACCGAAATTGAAGTTTCCGGTGTAAAAACAATAAGCTGTCTCAGCTGTCTCAAGGAGAATACTCATCAACATCTCAGCTCTCTTTCCTTTAACAAATTCACTAAATATTCATCCCTTTATTCTTGCATATCATGAAATGGATACTCTAATTATCCAAGGAGGAGAATCATCTACATCTTCCCACTTCTCTTATGATGTATTCCTGAGTTTTAGAGGTGAAGATACCTGAAAATCCTTCACTGGTCATCTTTATTCCAAATTGTGTGATGTTGTAAATAATACCTTCATTGATGATGAAGAATTGAGAAAAGGTGACGTGATATCAAGAGAACTAGAGAAAGCAATTGAGGATTTCCATTGTAGTTTTCTCAAGAAATTATGCATCTTCTAGTTGGTGTCTTGAAGAACTAGTTAAAATTCTCGAATATAATGCAAAGAGAAATTAAAGCAGATGGTTTTGCCTATTTCCTATAATGTTGATCCTTCTGAAGTGCGAAGGCAAACTGGGTTATTTGGTGAAGCTTTGGCTAAACACAAGGAACAATCATTTGGGGCTCAAAGAATGGAGAAATGGACAACTGCACTTACTGAAGCTGCAAATTTACGTGGATGGAATTTACGAAATGTTGTTGACGGGTACATTTTAATTTTATTCGTTATTTACCCTTGTGTATAAACAAAATATGCAGGCATGAGTCAAAGTTTATTGAATGTATTGTGCAACAAGTGGCCAACCAGACACCTTTAGATGTTGCTTGGTACCCAATTGGAGTAGATTCTCGTGTCAAAGATATAGAGTTGTTATTGCAATGTGCAAGTGAAGATAAAGTTCGCATGGTTGGTATATATGATGTTGGTGGAAATGAAAAAACAACTCTGGCAAAAGCTATCTACAATCGAATATTTCGACACTTCAATGGTAGTTGCTTCCTTTCAGACGTTAGATCAGAAACTGAAGAATTTGGTCTAGTCAAGCTACAACAGAAGCTTCTTCAACAAATTCTCAAAACTAAGGCCTATAGAGATGGATATTCGAAAATGCTCAAATCGAATATTGCACTATTTTTTCTTTCTGAAAGTGCAATTGCAACTTTGGTCCGAAAATGCTTGCTCCAAAGTACAAGGCCTATAGAGATGCATGATCTACTGCGAGATATGGGAAGAGATCAGTTCAATACCCCGGAAAACGGAGCAGAACCCTCAAGAAGTCCGAGATGTTCTACGAGGACATAAATAAAAGCTTCTAAAATCTGCGAGAATTGATTTTTTCAAAAGTGCTTTTCAAAAAAAAGTATTTTGATGAGAATCGATTTGTGTTTGGCTAATTAATTTAAAAAGCATTTTTGAGCAGTAATCACTATTTGATCAAGCTTTTGAAAACTGTTTGTGTATTTTTTTCAAAAGTGCTTCTCAGAAAAGTGTTTTTGGAGAAAAACTACATTTTTCTGCTTCTCAAAATCTGCTTCTGCTTCTCCTCAAAATATTTTTTTTTCCTTCTAAAAGCTTGGCCAAACACCTCAATTTTTGTCAAAAAGCACTTTTGGCCAAACAATAACATTTTTGGCCCAAAAAAAAGTTTGGCTCATTAAATTTCTTTATTTCATCTTGGTTGTACTTATTTTCAATTTAATTGCTTATTGCTTATCTTGTCACCACAAGATATAGATTCATTTGTGCTTCTTCTGCGGATAGTAAGTTATTTTTAGTTGTTTGCCGACCATTATAAACAAGAAATGAGCATTTGCTAAAGTCTAAACTCATACTATCCATGTCAAAATTATCGAATAAAATTTTCACCTATTTAACAATTAATCCAAATCGGCTTGCTGACGAAAATTTCTTATTACATTCTATGTAAGTAATATACTAATGGTCTTATACTAATTATTTTGCAAGATTAGTTATTCAAATATGTCCGACTTTGTCTTTTTAATTTTTTTCTAGTTATCATATAATCTTTTGTATATTTATTGTTTAATAATGTTCTTATTAACTTTCTATGCTTATATAATTGTGGGATCTAAGCTTGCTTGAAGAAACCAGGCATTGGAACTTTTGGAAAATGTTGCATATATATATATATATATATATATATATATATATATATATATATATATATATATATATATATATATATATATATATATATATATATATATATATATATATATATATATATATATATATCTGCTAATTTTATAATTTTCTTGAGTTTAACTATTTTTTTATTTATATATTTATTTTATTAATTTATAGAATATTAAAAATTAAATATTCATAGGGCTTTGCGCCTCAGGTTTTTTGCTTTGCCCCGTGTTAGATAAAATATCTCGTCTCTCGCCCATGCCTTTTAAAATATTGATAACTTAATTAATGAAAATTTGTAAGATGCTACGAATTGCAGATTTCTAGCTTTTATGAATTGACATTGTTAAACTAGTTCTAGAACACATTGTATTTAAAAAACTATTAAAGAACACTCTAGTGGTGAGCACCCTCCACTTCCAATCAGGGGGTTGTGAGTTCGAGTCACCCCAAGAGCGAAGGTGGAGAGTTCTTGGAGGGAAGGAGCCCGAAGGTCTATCGGAAACAGCCTCTCTATCCCAGGATAGGGATAAGGTCTGCGTACAAATTACCCTCCCCAGACCCCACTAGTGAGATTATACTGGATTGTTGTTGTTGTATTAAAGAGTTCACCATTGCTTGGTATGGTGGAAGCTCTTCTTAGTCACGGCTATGATAATTGATAGTGGGTTTCCTTCTTAGATTAAAATAAAAATAACACATAGGGGCATCACATGAATAAGTAATTTCGCAAAGATAAGGGCAATTAGAACTCTTTTCCTTTTCTTTTGTTCCACGTGTTTCACTTACATGACACTTTAAAATGATCAACATAGATAACATAAAACATGCCAGTTGAAGCTCCATTAAAAAATGGAGAGCATATATGATACGTTTGGTTATGACTATATCATTTTAAAGCAAATTTTTAACAAAGGACTCCAATTTCTAACTTTGCAAAGTTCACGCGCATATAGGAACATTTAAAACCGTCTTATTTTTAATCATTAATTTGGTTTTTACAAAGGCAGACTAACCTCGTAGACACTTATAGTTGTTCGCGTTTGTCATCCCGCTCCTTATACTCAATGAAGTTTCATCTAGATACTTATAAATGTTCAAAGTCAGTATTTTAAACCCCTCTGACCATTGACCAAGTCAATGTGACAATTTAATTGCTGAACTGGACAAAATACGTATATTTCACGCGCATAAGGAGCGTGAACATAAAAAAAAAAAAAAAATGATTAAAATAAGGGGAAAAAAGAAAAAGAAAATACAAAAATCAAATTAGAGAAAAGAAAGAAAAGGTCAAAGTTTGCTTTTCTCTTTCACTTAACATTCTGCTTCCCCACCCCCACCCCCAAATCCCATTTTTCTCTATCTCCCTCCCTTTTCACGTTTTTCCTCCTCCCCCATTTTAACCCAAAACCCATTTTGAACGTGTTGGCCTTTTCAGCCATGTCAAGAAGACCCAGATCTTGGTAACCTTTGAATTGGAATAACTGTGGCCAAAAATTTATTGGATGTTAAGATTATACCCGCAATTTATTCTTTTTGGTGCCTTTCTCTATGGAGATAATGAACAGAAAGTGGAAGGAAGCTAAAGATGTGATTTTTTTTCTTCCTAAAGAGGATTTCGAAATTCTTAATTGATGACGTAGGGACTAATACATAGTGGGTTTTCCGGCCGGTGATGTTGCTTGTTGTTCTATATCCCTGGTCCGCTCGTTGTTTTGGTTTTGGGCGAGGAGGCCGGCGACCAATGGTTGAAGGGGGAGGTGAAAGTAGAGGAAAAGAAGTCATAAACGGTGGTGGTTGACTGCGCAAGAGGAAGAGAAGGAGAAGTAAAAATAATATTTTATAAAAATAAATAATGACGTGGTTTAATTTAGCTGAGGTGGATCTGATATGTCCTCCATGTCAACTCGAGTGAGCAATAAGTGTCAGAAGTGTTTAAAACATATATTTTGATCAAGTTCATGTGTCTGGTTGAAACTTCATAAAGTAGGAGGACCGAGATGTCAAACCCGAACAAGTAAAAGTGTTTATTAGGCTATTTTGCCTTGTACAAATATACTTTAAAAGGTACATAGATTTTCTTTTACTTTTTATTTTTAGCAAGTTAAAATAGAACTAACTCCTTTCCTAATTAAAAAAAATCAACTTCTCGTGCTCCAAAATTATTTAATATAAGAAAATAAATTGGCACATCCATAATGGATGAGTTTTTTTGTCACGCCACTATTTTTGAATATTCATCATAATAGAACTCTTGATAATTATTCACTAATTTGCCATTATCACACTCAATTATCAGTCTGAAAATATAGTTGAAAGAATTTACACAGAGAAATCATGATACTCTCAATCTTGTATAGTATCCATTATGTGGTAAATTGAGAATACAAGTTATAACATTGGAAAATTCCCTAGGATTTTAATATTTTGGTGTTTAATATGCCAATTGGAGTTTCATTAGAAATGAAGGGCATGGATAAATAGTTTCACAAAGTTCAAAGACAAATTTGTTGGAGATGGATTCTCACAACACTCAGGATCCACGGCGGAAGCAAGGCAAAGAGAAAGACAATGATCTTTTGAAGAAGAACATTGATACCATCGATGCAACTCACTTTTGTCTGAAAAGTTGAGTCCAGTCAAGCATATACAAATGAGTCTTTTAGATGGTTAATATGTTTTGGACCCAAAGCTGAAGACTGAACATTATTGGGCCTTTTAGAAGAGTGTACATGGGACAAATGTCCTAGTTAGTTATACATAGATTCTTTCTTACTTGTATAAATACTTCAGCCTTGTATAGTGAAATACACACTAAAAAATTCAGCCTTACGATCTCTTTCAAATGCTTTTACATTCTAATATGGTATCAGAGCCCTAAGGCTCGATCCCTTTTAAGTTGCTCTTTTTTCTTCTGTCACTTTCTTTTCTTTCATCACTTTTCTTGTTTGGCATCACCAGCTACAATGGTAGACCCTACTGATTCTTCTTCAGCTACTCATCTCACCAATCCTGCTCAAACTCAAGCACAGGCAGGGACTGCTGCACCTGATTCCTCTCACCCTTTTTATCTTCATCCCTCTGATTCTCCAGGCATGCTTTTGGTCAATGCCGTGTTTGATGGAAAGGGGTATGCATGATGGAGAAGGGGGGTTCTCATAGCCTTGTCTGCTAAGAACAAGGTGGTTTTCATAGATGGCACTTTCCTTCAGCCCAAGATCTCTTGTGAGTCATTCAAACCTTGGGCCAGGACCAATGATATGGTGATTTCCTGGCTATTGAACACTTTTTCTAAGGAAATAGCAGAGAGTGTTCTATACTCAAAAATAGCTAGAGAAATTTGGTTAGAGCTTGAAGAAAGGTTTGGACAGAGTAATGGACCACATCACTACCATCTACAGAAAGAAATCAGTCAGACATCTCAGGGAAATCTGGACATAGCTGGGTACTACACTAAGCTCAAAAGGCTTTGGGATGAACTTGACAGTCTAGACACCTTCCAACACTGTACGTGTGATTGTTCTTGTGGTGGTAAAATCAAGACCTATAAATCACAACAAGATGAGAGACTCATTCAATTTCTAATGGGACTGAATGATGCATATAGTGGTCCTAGGAGCAGTCTACTCATGCTCTCACCTTTACCATCCATCAATTATGCCTATTCTCACCTTATCAGAGATGAGAAACATATAGAGGTGCGGATTTCTCACCCTAATGGGGAAATGGCTTTCCTTGTTTCGAAATAGAATAGTGGAGGGAATAGGTTCAATGCTGAAAGAAAGAGTGATGAGGAAAAGAAACCCGTTCAGTTCTGTGCCTATTGTAAGAAGCAGAATCACACCATAGATAATTGTTACAGACTCATTGGATTCCCACCTGACTTCAAGTTTACCAAGTTCAAGAAATATGTACCTGGACCTAAGAGCAATGCAGTTTTGCATGCAGAAGATGGTGGAATTCAGTCAGTTCAATCAGGAGAAATACCAATAATACAAGATCAATATTACAATCTTTATCAGCTGCTACAGAATGTGAAAATTGGAAATCAAGTTAATCAAGTGAATCAGGTTAATGAAGACATTGCCTCTGCAAATTGTGATGGTATATTTCTTCGTCCTTGGCCCTCTACTCCTTCTAGATCCTTCATCAGTGTTTCTTTAAACTCTATTGCTTGGATCTTAGATTCAGATGCATCAGAACATATGACCTGTAATTCTAAGTTGTTGTTTAATGTACAGACTTTTTCTAGGCATGTTTCTGTCACTTTACCTAACTCTATTAGAGTATTGGTTTATCAATTTGGCTCAGTTGCTCTCTTATCACAACTCATCTTACAAAATGTTCTGTTTATTCCAAGTTTCAACTATAACTTACTGTCAGTTCATAAATTATATACTTAATTCAATTTCATTCTAATATTTTTTTCTCTTGGTGCTACATTGCAGGCCCCTTCAATGAAGAGGCCAGTAGTGCTTGGTGAAGTAAAACAAGGTCTCTACATTATCAATTCAAGTCAAACCAAGTCTAGAACTAGAGTAGTTAGCAAAATCAAGGCATTATGCCATTCTCTTTGTAATCAGCATATTAAGAGCCAATTTTCAAATTATGTTTTATCCTTAGCTTCAGTTTCCAGTAATGTAAGCCTTTGGCATAATAGGTTGGGGCATTCGCCATTATCTAATATGAAAAATATCAGTTCTATTTCTTATTCTGGTTTCCCTTCTAACAAGCATGCTTGTGATATTTGTGCAAAAGCAAGACAAGTAAAATTACCCTTCCCTTCTAGTTCTATTACTACAAAGCGTGTGTTTGATCTTATTCACATTGATGCTTGGGGACCATATAGAACTCCTACTCATGAGGGGTTCAAATATTTTCTTACTGTGGTTGATGATTACAGTCGAGCTACTTGAACTTTTCTTCTTAGAGCTAAATCTAATGTTTTCCCTATACTTAAAGATTTTCTAGCCATGACTGAAAGGCAGTTTGATACTAAAGTAAAGATTATTAGGTATGACAATGCTTTGGAATAGGGTTCTGGTCCTTTACTTTCTAAATTCTTTAGTTCAAAAGGAATTCTTTATCAAACAACATGTGTTTACTCTCCCCAACAGAATGGAGTTGTTGAGAGAAAACACAGGCATCTTCTTGAGACTTGTAGAGCATTGCTATTTCAGTCTAACTTGCCTACTCATTTTTGGGGAGATTGCGTGTTAACTGTAACTCATCTCATAAACAGATTCCTCTCTAAAGTTCTAAAGGGGAAGACACCTTATGAAATTTTGTTTGGTTCACCTCCTTCTTACTATAATCTGAGGTCTTTTGGGTCACTTTGCTATGCTTCAACTCTACCTATACAGAGGTCCAAATTGGATCCTAGATCCATCAAGTGTGTCTTTTTGGGGTACCCCTTTGGGGAAAAAGGGATACAAATTGTTTGACTTACAAACCAAGAAGGTTTTCGTTTCTAGAAATGTGGTGTTCTATGAGCATATTTTCCCTTTTTCCTCACCAAACTCTACTCCTTTATTTCCTATTGATTTACCTATAACATCCACAGATCATGTTCCTACATCTCACTCTCAGTCTACAGCCACACAAAGCACTTTACTTTCTAGGTCTGAACTTTCCTCTGTTCCCAATTTACTTGGTCCCTCACACACACTTACTGACTCTTCCCCTCCCAGTATTATGGCTCCCCATTTTTCCCATTCTCCTAGTCCAAATACTTCTTCTTCTAAGGGACAATATACTTATCTTTCACCTTATTCTTCTACAGTTAATCAGCCAACACTTCGAAGATCCCTTAGGGACCATCATTTGCCTAGTTATCTCAATGACTACATATGTAACTCTATCTTCTTCACTAATATCTCAGCTAGTTGTTTTACTTCCCCTGTTACTCCTCCTACTTTGTCTTTTTCAGCTGTCACACTCTAATCAATCCCTTTTTAACTCAGTTTCCTATATCTCAGAACCCTCTTCCTATACCCAAGCCTCTTTACATCCAGGTTAGGTAGATGCTATGTCAAAGGAAATTCAAGCACTAGAGTGAAACAACACTTGGAAAGTGGTAGAATTACCCAAAGACAAGAAAGTTTTACCTTGTAAATGGGTCTACAAGGTAAAATACAGACAATGGGATCACTTGAAAGTCTGAAAGAACATTTGGTGGTTTAGGGGGGATATACAGAGAGGGTATCGATTTTACTGACACCTATTCTCCTGTGGTGAAGATGACTACTATCAGATGTTTGCTAGCTGTTGCAGTCAAGAGAAATTGGGAGGTTTTTCAATTGGACGTTAATAATACATTTTTACATGGAGACCTACAAGAGGAAGTCTACATAAGATTCCCAACTGGGATATCACCTCCAACACCTAAGCATGTATGCAAACTCACAAAATCCCTATATGGACTAAGGCAAGCCTCAAGGCAATGGTATGCATGCCTTACAGCAGCGCCAAGTTTCAAAGGTTATTCACATTCACTCAATGATTACTCTCTTTTCTTTAAGCACTCAGCAGGACAGACTACTATTGTTGCAGTTTATGTCGATGACATATTATTAATTGGGGATAATCCCTCAGAGATCATTTTACTCAAGTTTTTTCTTGATTCAGAGTTTTATATTAAGGATTTAGGAAAAGCCCACTACTTTCTTGGCATGGAGATTATTCGTGAACCACAAGGATTAATCTTAAGTCAGAGAAAGTTCACCTTAGATTTTTTGTCTGAATTTGGCTGCCTGACCATGAAACCATCTTTTTCTCCCATTGAACCTGCTTGCCATCTTCGTCTGGATGATGGGGAATTGCTTTCTGATCCCACAATTTATCGGAGGCTCATTGGTAAGTTAAATTACCTCACCCACACTCGCCCAGATCTCTCTTTCGTTGTACAATATCTCGGTCAATACATGCAGTCTCCTCGAGTACCTCATTTCGAAACTGTTTTTCATTGCTTACGATATCTTCTTACAAAACCTTCTATGGGGTTGTTCATGTCTGCTACTTCCTCTTTTGACTTGGTTGCCTTTTGTGACTCCGATTGGGGGAGATGTCCAGATTCTAGTTGATCCATCAGTGGGTATTTTATTTCTCTAGGTGGAGCTCTGGTCTCTTGGAAGTCAAAGAAACAAACTTTAGTTTCTTTGTCTTCTGCGGAAGCAGAATATCGCTCCATGAGTAGGGTCGTTTCAGAGATTACATGGTTGGTTCGACTTTTTCAAGATCTTTCTTCATCTCCATCGCTGTCGGTGTCGCTCTACTCCGATAGCCAAGCAGCAATCCACATCGCCAAAAACCCTGTGTTTCATGAGCGTACAAAGCACGTCGACCTCGACTGTCACTTCGTACGCCAGCAGTACCTCGCCGACCTTATTTCTCTCTCTTTTGTGCCTTCAATTTCCCAAATCGCCGATGTATTCACGAAACCCCTTTCTGGGCCTTCTCACTGATCTATTCTGGGCAAGTTGGGGGTTGTTTCACATCCCTCCAACTTGAGGGGGGATGTTGGAGATGGATTCTCACAACACTCAGTCACAAGGACTGAGGATCCACGGCAGAAACGAGGCAAAGAGAAAGACAATGGTCTTTTGAAGAAGAACATCGATACCATCGATGCAACTCATTCTTGTCTGAAGAGTTGAGTCCAGTCAAGCATATACAAATGGGTCTTTCAGATAGTTAATACGTTTTGGGCCCAAAGCTAAAGACTGAACATTGTTGGGCCTTCTAGAAGAGAATAGAAGAGTGTACAGTTATATTTACAATTTCTTTATTTTAGTATTTATCCAATAAGTTGTTATAGGATAGCAAATACACATGGGACAAGTGTCCTAGTTAGATATACACAGATTCTTTCTTACTTGTATAAATACATCAGCCTTGTACAGTGAAATACATAGAAAAATACAGCCTTACAGAAATATTTTGGTATTTAATATGCCAATTGGAGTTTCATTAGAAATGAAGGGCATGGATAAATAGTTTCACAAAGTTCAAAGACAAATTGGGACATAAACTTGTAAATATGAATTTGCCATTATCACCTTAAAGTTTCTTTTCTTCAGATATTTCAATTGACACTCAGAAAATATAGCTGAAAGAATTTACACGAGGAAATCACGATTTTCCCATTGTTCTGTCGATTCTGTGACAAATTGAGAACCCATTCGACTTCCCTCACAATTTCAACTGTTTGTTGTTCCAATCGCGGTATGGAGAGATAAACCAACATAGACGTTCTAGCTGATCTTTTGAATCCATGTTTAAAGATCTTCGTGAAGTTTGCCTCTGCAACAAGAAATATAGAGTATGAGAGCAAAATATGCAGGCAAAAAAGGATGGAATGTGAGAAAATTTAAACACATTTTGTTCAATCTAGATTCCTAGTATAATTTGAAATAAAGATAAAGAATCTTAGAAGGGACAGTCGAATCAAAAGCATACCTACTATTTTCATCATAAGTGGATGTAAATCATAGAAACAAAAGCTAAGCTTGTGTTTTATTTCGAACAATTGTTACACCTTCCTCGATTGCTTGGACAAAAGTTGCGATCTTGTAAGTGAAAAATCCCACTAGCATGGGTATCAACTCAAGGTGCATGAATCCATACTCGGGGACTAGGATCCTGCAAAGAAACCAATATAGCAATTTGAAAGACCAGATGCTTAAGCGACTCTCCACAATGTAGAAACATTAATACTTGCTCTACAACAATGAAAGAGAAGTCATTAAGGTATCCTTTGGTTGCAACGGTAGTAGGAAAAAGGAAGTGCGGAAAAAGTTAACTCTCCTACATATTTATGCGTTGAATGAGCAGAAAATTTGTGGGAAAATGGATTTAAAATATTCAACGGGAATGACTCTTCCAACTTGAGTCATGCGAATACTGTAGGAGCTTTAAAAGAAACTGGTTTTTCTTTCTCTGAAACAAACAAGAATGTTTTCCTTCACTGCAATTTCCTGAAGAAAATACGTTTTCTAACTACTTACTTGACATCCAAAAGGAACTTAATGGTTTTTATTGTCCTCGATGTCAAAGAAAATATTCAAGAAGGGGAGTTTCATTAACATTCCATATATATATTTTACTCAAGATGGTAATAGTGGTAGATCTTACCCATTCCACCGGTTAAAAATCATGACCAAGGCAACAGGAACCAATAGCCTTGGCTGCCCAACAGCTCCCCTGCAAGTAAAAGCTTCTGGTAAGATTATCAATAAAAGCACAAAGTAGTCCTTTCCTAGGGATATAGCTACTCTTCTTAGTCCCAAACAACAGACTCATCTATTGGGCAAGCCTTTGGTTGCTATTTTGGTCTGTGGGTTAATACTTCCATTCATGGAAAAATGAAGCTGGCAAGCGGGAAAGAACTAGAATTTGACTGATCAAGTACAACCCTGATTCAAGAATGACAATATTGTAATAACTCTGAGAAAAGTACTAACAGATGCTCCATAAACATTTTCAAAAATGAATTTGGACTGTGGGATTGTAACAAATGCAAAATGCATAGGAGTAATTGACATCCTATTTTCAACTGGCATCAGTCGCCATACATGTAATACAAAGAAACAAGTAATGCTATGTTTTGAGCTAATACAAGAACCAATCAAGACAGACCACACAATGAGGTTATCGGATGTGAATTCTTTTCTTCATTTTCAATTGACTAAGTTTTTCTTCTTTGTATACACAGCATGGAGTATAGAACTTTATACTCTTGGTTTTTCAGCGTAGGATAAACAATGTAAATGATACGGACTGTTGGACTTCATAGAATCCTTGTGTCAGTAAAAGGAGTATGAGTCCCTTTTGCACACATCTTCGTAATGTTACTTTGTAAGTAGAATTACTAAAACTGTACACTTACCTATTAAAATTTGACCAAGTGTTTTACTTC